TATCACGCTCTTCAAATATATTTCCATGTTTAGAAAATTATATGAACTGTCAATGAGATTTAATATCTGATTAATATTGAAACATTTGTAAAACTTAGGTAGTGCTTGTGCAAGGGGCATAGAAAAGAACTGCTAACAGAAACTGCCAGCTATCTCAAACTCAAGAGAAAAAGCATTTACACTTACCATGGCCTTAAAGCTCTTCTTTCCAAGTAGATGAGATTAACTCTTTTTCTGTCCTTGTCCCTCTCCCTCATTTGTTCCCAAAGATAGCTTTTACCACTAGAGTCAACGCATGTAAACCTGTCTAGCTTTGTGCAATACGTACTGGTCTAGTTGCTTTCTTCTTTTCCCCCAGTAAAGGATAGCAATAATCTCTATAGTTTCATTCCTAATCAGATCTAATTAAAATTGAGCTGTCAACCATATTTTGTTCCAGTTATGAATAATTAATGGAACAATTTTATAATGCATATTAAGTGAGTTGGTATTAGCATTTTCTTACCTTAAATAGCCCCCAAATAATCTTTGCATGAATAAGAGTTCCCTTTTTGTCACTAAGTATTGGAACCTAGTTTTTATGGATCAACATGTAGCACTATTTCTCAATATACTTTAATAGGTTGTTTGCTCAAAATGAAGGGATTTGGAATTTGGTAGCTTGCAACATTTCACACACAGACAGCCACTGTTTTGACACTCTACACACATTTTTGAAATGAAACTCAAATGGAGGACAGAGGTGGCAAACACAGCTATCTTACTGACCTGCTCAACAACAAGACGGAGAGAGAGATGATGAGGAAGAACTAAACCCCAACACCTTGCTTTCAAACTTCAGAAGACTGTCTATCTTCTGAGTCAGGGTGAGTGGATTATTCAGTTATTTCATAAATGTCACCACATAAAGAAAACATTCACAAAAACAATTTTGGCTTTTGTCACTGTTCTGGAAACAAGGTTTCTAAAAGTAAACCATACTTACACTTCATGTGTTAATCTTAAAAATACATTGTTCTCTTTCTGCCACTGAAGTCTGTAAATGATTAGACTGTGCAGCATAGCAGTTAACCACAAATGTATTCCTGTTGCTTTTCTTTAAAAAACCTGAAGTTTAAAGGAATCCAAGACTGAGAAAGTGAAAGAATGTGTTGAGTTGCAATTTCCTTGTCTCTCAGAGAAATTATGCACTATTAGCACTCACACAGACTTGGGTTGTTTTTCCAAGATGAATTCCCTCTGTAAAGTACATGTATAATCATGTTTATGACAGGAAACAGCTAGTCATTATTAGCAGATAATCTTGGTTAGCTGTTTGATGTTTTCTTTCACTTTCAGAAAGTCAGATCCCAAATTTCCAGACTGGCTCGTTAAAACAGAGCTGTAGTTCTAATTAAAATAATTTTTAAAACAAGACTAAAGAAAAAACACAAGAATTGTCTTTCCAAAGCCAATATCGGGTGATTTTGTAGATGAACTTCCAAAGTAAACCCAATAATGATTAATATTAAAATACAAAATAATAAATAGTCAGGAAGACTAACACATTCTTCTGCAAACAATGCTATTAAGCTTTGATTTTCAACCGCTTTATAATAAGAATCAGCTGCCAATTTAAGGGGAAAAAATGTGGGTTTCATTTTACAACTGACCTGAGAGCTCACAGCTCCCTTTCAGATGAAAATTGGAATTGTTCAGTGCTGTACAAAGCGTGGTCTTTAACATTAAGTTTTGCACACAGTTTTAATGCAAAACAAGGACAGAAGTGGCATCACAACAGCACTTGTACTGCAAAAGTTTTTGAGGAAACACTCTTCTAGTGCTGTTTATGTGCAACAATATAATGTCTCATGTCAAGACTACACATTATACTGCTGCATAACAGGTAGAAAAGGAATGGCACCTCTCCCCTGGACAGCAATTCCCACATGTTTGTAAACACTGTGGATGTAGATGACCATAAAGAAATGCAAACAACCTGTTTCCAAGTGAAACAGAGAGATAACAATGATAACTGGTTGTGGTGGAATACAGAAAAAAAGCACCTTCATTACACTTCCCGCAGAAAGTTTTGTTATTTACCTTTGTTTAAGAATCAGAACTTGTTATTTGTAGCAAATTATGGGGACTTTTAAAAAAAAGTAAAATTCCTCAAACTGAAAAGCTAAAGCTAAGATAGGTTGAAATTTATTTTATTGAAAATGTCCAATATTCGTTCCTGTTTTAAAGTATTCCTAATAATAGGAGACAACAAATTCACTCAATAAAATATCTCCTATATGATTCACACTGAATTTTCTGTTAGCCTGAAATTATTACCCATAGACTCTGACTTATCAGAACAGTTAGCAGAATTCAGGAGACGAGTAGTGGATAGTTCATCCTCTTATGTTTAACCTCAAACCTACCATAAAACGCAGAGTGTCAGAAAGTCCATTCAACAACATACTGCACTGGTGGGAACAAGGTAACTTTCTCTAGGTTCTTTTTTAAAAGTGCATGTCTGCCACTCAAGTTTTCGCTGATTACAGTAATATTTTTATGGAGCTACTTTTGTTTTTGAAGTCCAAAGTCTTCAAAGGAGGTAGCATAAAAAAGGAGCAGAACATGACTGTTTCGGATTAGCTGACAATGATATGCTGTACAGAGAGGATACTCAGTACCATAACCCAAGAGTCTGCACCAAAGTGCAACTGTTCTAACCAAAATACACCGAGACTTACGTTTCTGTTTGAACCATATATCTGTTTCAAATGTATGACTGGTGATTCTGGGCAAGCACCATTGCTAGAAGACTTTTAAAAATCTTCTGCACAGAAGTGATTATTATGAACAGCCAGTGAGAACTGGAAGATACCCCAAAAAAACCTGTACAGGTTGCTAGTTATAAACACACACACTCTCCTCACTTCTGCCTTCAAATCAGTGTATTTTCTCCTTCAAGAGTTGGAACAACATTCATAAATAATTAAACTTGCAAAATGTCCCTGAATACATAGACAGTTTAACAGCCCTGATGCAAACAAAACAAAACAAAACAAAACAAAAAAAAAAAGGGAGGCAGGGAGACCTAGACTTTTCAATACTATTTTCACCTTTAGTAATTATTGTGCTATAAAACTTAGTAATCAGTAGCTCAAAGCATTATACATATAATGAGGAAATTCTTTGTAAGTCTCAAACAGATGTCAGTTGTACCCTAATTTCATGATTTGATACACTAGAGTCAAAAAACAGTGATAAATATGTCTCATTGTAATAATAATTACTACAAGATGCTAGTTGTGTAAAATCAGTGAATTTTACGTACTTTCTTAGCTATCCATCTTCATAAAAATTTCTGTGCTATAACCTAAACTCACTGCATTTTCTTTAGAAAACTGAATCCTCTTTAAGAATTAGAGAAAGCCAAGCCAAATACAAATGATAACACATTTAATAGTGATCACAACCCCGATAAAAGCACAAAAACCTCCCTGTTCTTAGGCAGATGGCTACATTTGGAACCATTTGTATTTCATTTTGACTTAGGGTGTGACTAGAAAGATGTTAATCACAACCGGAAATAGCATTTTATAAAAATTATTACAATCACACCTATCTGAGGCTAACATATAATGTTCCACTTAAACTCACAGAATTAGACATGGAGACATCAAGTATTTATAGAAATATCTACAAGCTGCAACTGCCTTTTATTTTTTTAAAGTATCAGTGAACTGACCTTTAGAGTAAGGGTTTCATGACAACAGGCTGCGCCACACAGCCTTCTCAGGTTTTATTTCACATACATTAGTTTCTTCTTTTGATGTTGCTACTTCTTTGCACTTCTATCTTTCCAAGAAGCACACACTGAGAAACTTGGCCAAAATTGGTCTTAAACTTCTTGCAGAGTCTGAAGAGAAAGCTTTTGCTAATTTTTTGCTGTGCCTTAAAGTCCTACAGTATTAGACTTACTGTTTCACCTGTATTAATATCTGGTGCAAAACATTTGTAAACAAAGTGAAAACACTGTCGTAACATTCTTCAAATTCAGATACAAAGGGAAAATTGGAAATTCCACACTGTCCAACTGCCCTAGACAACTGAAAGTGTTGCTCTAACAAGCAGTGCTGAAGCCCTTATCTTACTATTGAGCAGAGATGAAAGAAAATAGACATGGAAAAAGCAGACGATGAACAGGCTGAATGTTAGCTATGTAAAAATGTTAAATAAAGCTAAAATCCTTCCATTTTTCCTGATTATTCTGCAATCAGTTTGCAAGACCTTAAATTAATGGAAAATGCTTATGGAGGTGCATAGACCCTCAATGCTATTTTGCCTTCATCTGAAATGTAAAATAATATTAAAAATAGCTCGGTCACTGAACTCCTGGTCTTCACTGTGAGTTTCAGTGTTTCCAAGATTAAACAGAATATTACAGAGAAGGAACAAAACTAAAGGATGAGGTACTTATTTAGACAACTAATCTAAAGATGAAACTTGCTTTTGTAAGATGTTCTGCTCGACATTTTCAACTGGATGTACAAGTTAAATTGGCCGTGCCTTTGACGCATTCACAAAGAGAAACAAATAAACAAAACTCTGCATTTGCATCCGTCCACTCACATGGTTTCTCAGATTACACTCTCTGAGAAAGCAATCACATCCTAAAAGATACTTGAGGGCAAGAACACAAATCCGCAGAATTAGGGCAAAATCGCCCAGGTCCCACAAGGCCATTTTCAAAGCAGACACTGAAAGAACTTAGGGAAGTGGTATCCAAAGATCATTTACCATTGTAGAACCGCTTAAAGTTCTGAAGAACTGGGTCTGCTTCAAAGCTCAAAAAAGAGGACACTTGCAAATTTAGTCATGAAACTCCTACTGTGGCAAAGAGTCCTTTGTTTGCGGATCCTTGTCCGGCAGACACTGTAGGCAACGGAGCTGGAGGTGTTGGTATCCCTGACGACTTTGATAGGAAAGGGAAGGCCAGTGCAGGTTGGATGTCCAGCCTGTGCTCAAGGTCCTCCACTGTATGAATAATCTGCCTTGTTGTGCATCACGAGCTTGTTGTCTACAAAGTAGAAACTGTCCGACTGTGTCTCATATGGATGAAGAATCATTTCTCGAACTGCAAGGGAAAAAAAAATATTATCAGTCGTGTTACACAGAAGCCCTGCTGAGGCAACGCTCTGCACTGGTTTTCTGTTACGTTTAATTGCATTGCTCAGACAGCAGCAAACTCTCAAGTGAAAAAACAAAACCAAAACAGGAACCTACCCAAACCATTCGTTGGCAGTATCTCTTAAAGAACTCCAACAGAATCCAGATATGTTAAGGCACCATACAAAGCGTAACCTAACCCCAAAACAATATCACACTAGAGTTTGGTTTTGGGGTTTTTTTTGTTTTAAAAAAAAGTGATAAAACAGCTAACTCAGAAGACATTTGTTCAGGTGTGAAAATAAGTAAGCAGCAGCGCATCGCTGTATTTTCCACAGGCTGCAATATTAGTGCTGACATACACGATTAGGGGTTGTAAAGAACGTAAGGTCACACAGATTTATTACTGATGCTACTGTGTCTTGGGAGAGAGGTGAGAAAATAAAAGTTATGCTCATACTAAAACCTCTCAAGCTATCAATACAGTACATCAAATATTAAAACAGAACATAACATTTAAGTCATCCATTTATTGGATGCCTTTTTAATCCTAGTTTTTTTGATAGTTTTACAAGACAATCATCTTTTTTCTCCCCAACACTGAAGCTTCCCTTTTATGAATTAAAAATGAACAAACAAAAAACACAGATACAAAACTACCTGGAAGCGTTCTACCCCACCCACTTTCTACAAAGAGCTCTTAAGAAAGGGCTTCCTCAAACTACCTTAGATTAACATCACTATGTGCTAACCCAGTAATTAAAGGGAGCTTACTGAGATCCTCAGAGAGCTGTGGGAATTCATAGATGTGCTCACAGGTATTTTTACTGCTGGGGATGCAGAACCCAAATTCAAAATCAAAACTCTTAAGCAATTGATCCCGGAAGTAGTGCCTCTCAATCATGCGGAAGTTGTTAATGGGTTTGTCCCCTACTGTGAACTCCACCCTGAAAAAGAAGGATACGACTGAAATGAGCTTTCTTCCTTAAGCAAGATTTTCAACCATTCCTGAAAGGCACAAGGGCGCTCTTCTACAAAAAAACCAAAAATCTAAAGCAATGGTACTAACCATGATTTTGAGAAAAAGCATGCTACAGGGACACAACATAGCACTACAAATCATAGATTATACTATACTTTGAGTCTTTTTACTCAAAAAGAAAAACAAAAGGACATGCAAGAATTTTACAGTCTCAAACTGATCTTCAGTGAAGAAAAGATCCCTCCAACTGGCACTGGATCGGCACTTCACTGGATCACTCACTAGACATTCCTTACTGCACTGCATTTTTATAGAAGTCATTTTAATGCTTCTGGTGGGTACTGAAAAAAAAGCCAGATCTACAGAAAATGGTCTTTCTTCTGTTCCTGCTTTGTAAGTGGCAAAGGGGGACAAGTTTTAGCCAGCACAATGTTCTAACTTCTCTCACCATGAAGCACAACCTCTTGGAGAAAGACAGGTATTAGTTACATATGATACACTATGAGTAAGCCAGGAAGACAGTGTTACTAGTTTGGCACAAATCAAAAGTTGGGTATATACCATTTTAACCAAATAGTGGCTGCTAATAGAGCTGCTAATTGATACATAACTATTTTTTCTTCCAAAACAAAATCTAAATGCTGCACATCTTTAAGATCAGCAAGAAGTGGTAATGTGCAAACTTGCTCTAAATATACTCTCTGACAATGAATTTTCATTCTTTTGCATCATAAACAAATGCTGAATTTTAATCAAGCTCTCAAAAATTTTTATCTTTTTTTTAAGCAAGGCTACTACACATCAGTTCTTGTGAAGTACACATTTGCTGCTGAAGGGACCTATCAAACTGCACTCCTACACAAATCCAAAATAATGATTTCTATGTACCTGAATCAAAGAGCTTTCTGCTAGAAACTCCAACTCATGCTCAGTTACAGTATCATGGACTTAGTGACAAAACAGCAATGGGCATAAAGCTCTTGATTAGATCTACTAATTTAAACTTAAGTGAATGTAGAGAAAAACAAATATAAGAAAGAACCTGCCGCACTGTGACCCAATGTCCTTCGAAAATCTCCGGTAAAGACAGTTAGCCCACCAGCCTGCTCTTTGGAGCGCCAGAAGAGGAAACACAAGTTGAAAACTGCATCTCCCCATGCATGCTATTTAACTGCAGATAAACCTGTAGTTAGTAGTAAGTTAGCAGTAATAGTGTAGTTAACAGTAATCAGTACTAACTTTTACTAAAGAAATGATACACTCCATCACCTGTATTACAGTCGCAGTAACTTTGGCCTGAAGCTTTACAGAAAGATACTTTCAGTGTCACATTTTGGTGTGGTTTATTGACGGATGCAATCGGTACTACCAGCCATGTCAAAGAGCATTCTGGGTGCTTAAGGTGTCAAACACTACTTCACCATTTCACGTGCATCTATGGATTAAGGTTTTTTGGGGAATGCAACGCGGAAGACTGCAGACACACCTTTCAAAATTTGCAGAGTCTATGACAAACTATAAATGTGCAGAAAAGAGCTGGAATATCCGCTTGGTCCACCTTATTTTGCCCCTTTTAGTAATAACCTCTTCAATGCCACGCCTATTCCTGAAGCAAATAAACAAGCTAGAGGGATGGAGAAAGCAAGGCATCCAGCAAAGATGTTTGGAGATCCTCATAATAACAAAAGATCACTATTAAATCAGCTTCCTGGCATGATCAATAAGCAGGAGCCACTTCTTATAAGATTTCAGTTGTTTCCTGTACTAGAAAAAGCAGCACAGGAGCAATTACTTACGTGGCTCCCACTTGCCGAAGTCTAAGAAAAGCTGGGGTGAACTGATAGCGTACAAACCGTCCAGCATTGGGGTCAATGTCCTTCTTGTCATTGTGGTCACGTTCTGGAAAAGCGCAAAGTAAAGCTCCATCACAGTCGTCTGAGAAACAGAAACCCAGTGAAAATATTCACAATCGTACATTTTTGAGTCCCATAAGCCAGGAAACTGTTCTGAGAAAGCCTGATGATGTGCTTATCCTCTTCCTATCCTAAGGCACCCACTACTGCTAACTCAGAGGCAGAGTATTGGCCAGATGGCCCTTTGGTTTGATACACTTCTTATCTTCTGGAGTGACTTACTGCTCCGACCTCTGGTTCGGGATTGCAGTGTGCCTCTGAACAAGCCATTGCACCTTAGTGGGTCTGGTTTGCTGTCTCTAAGCTACAGAAAACTGCCTCTCACCTGCAGGGAGATGGGAAAGATTTTTAAGAGTGCTTGATCAGGAAAAGAACTGTTGCCCTGAGTTTTTCTTACCACTGGCAACAGATAACACTTTGGTGGTTACAAAGTACCACCTAAAAATTATGAAGAAAAAAAAGAAGCAGATTTTCATTTTGTCTGATTTGCACAACTGACAAAGTTTCTTCCTTTTGGAAGTACCGTTTTCATGACTCCTGAGTGAAAGGTGTTAGACTAACAGTTAAACTATGTACAGGGGGACTCTAGCTGATAACCAGCCAAGAAATGAATACACGGTGACCTCCTCCTCTGCTTCTGTTCACAACATCCATCTGTCCTTTCTCATCACAGATGGCAATCATAAGCATACAGCAGCAACGAGTTCTGTTCACTGTGTTGGTGCAGAAGGACACCTGAATCGTGTTTCTGCTGCAAGCTGGGACCCCAGCCCTCTTGCAGTCAAGAGCATCTCCTGTTTTTGGGATACGTATTGAGTAAAAAGTGGGGGAAAAGCTAAAAGGAAGCAGACGCTAGCATTTGTTTGTTCATGAAAACACTATTTTGTGTGTGCACTCACCTGAAGCTGCTGGTTTGGTGATTTCAAACAAGACTGTGCCAGATTCCATGTCCCGGATTTTGAACCTGGTGAAGTCTATCTTGTAAACATTTTCCTCTGGAGTGCACAAATAATCTGCAGAGGAAAGCAAATTTAAATGAAGGCTGATCAGAATTACCAGGTATTACTCTTTGGAGGTCACAACCAGCAGTGAGAGCAGCCCAGATGCATTCCCACTACTACCTGGGTTTTAATCCAAAACTGAGGTCTGTGAAGACAGTCCCAGCTCTGAACACTCACACCGCCCCGCCTGGACGGGACAGGGAAGGGGCTTCTCTCCCCCAGCACTTGGAGGTCATCACCTTCTTCCAACCCTGTGCCAGCGTCTCCTGCATCCATTTCCTCTCAGGGTATTGAGAATCGTCAGCACCTGTATCAGATCCTAGCCTTTCCAGTGTAAGAGGCTTTGCCCGTTTTAAAAACTGTCCTCTGGCAGAACACAAGTGCTAAGCAGCTTTGTGAGCACTAAGCCTGCACTTAACTGGGGGAGGAGTGTCCTCCTCCCTGGTGCCACCTCCCCTGTCTCCAGCCCTCTGCAGACAAAGGATGGCCTCTTCTCTCCACTGATGCCCCACGAAAGGACTTTTTTTCCTCAGCACTGAAAATGGTGTTGAAGCCTTTCCCTGTTATTAGGAAAACAGCCTGGGAACAGAGCCCTTCCCTGCTTCCACCAGAGTCGGTCTCTTTGGGACAAAGTCATTGTTTCCGGCTTCAGCCTCGCTGTGCCCCGAGACAGCTTCCTGGCCTGGCTGTCAGCCTCCTCTCTGGGGCAAGCACAGCACTACTTCATTTTCACTGCACGTGTAAGCACAGAGTGAAAGCAGCTCCAATAACTTATGTTATTCTGACAAATCTGAATAAATGTTGTATGTATACAGGCCAGGTTAGCTTTTGAACAGCTGTGTATCTGCATGTTGTAGGAGACTTGCTTTGGGGGTTCCAAGGTAAAAGTAATACTTTAACATTCTAATTCTAAGCCCTTTCTCAGCTACTAATTCCTGCTGTTAGTCCAAGTTAATCACTTATTTCTGTCTGCTTTCCTATTTCTAAAATTCAAATACATCCATCCACCTAAGGCTTATTCATTGACTGTGTGGAAACAAGTTACAGCGTACTCCGAGATCACACCTGCCTGTTACAACCCCTGCATCAGCGCAGGCACGGACATTACGGTTGGGGGTTATGGTTCACAGACAGTGGTGAGCACATCCCATAGATAAGGTGTTAATAAAAGATTGCTGTGGTATAGTAAGAGAACATCCCATCTGTCATGCACTGCAACTACCAGAGCGCAAGGCTCTTATGCCAGGATCGGTAATTACAGAAATCGGGTCCCTCGGTAGTGAGAGACAAAGCTACCTGTAGTCAGCACTATGGAAGATTGCTCCTAGGTGCTGCTGAGCATGAATGGCCCATCTAGCACCTGCACTTTCCTAAAAGCCTTTTATTCTTTGCAAATCTCCTTAACTTGGAGAAGAGTCTGAGTGTTCACTGCTACAAGGAACAGAGATGTCAAACGCACTCTCCAGATGACTTTACTGCTCTCCATCATCACCACGAGACAGTGAACATTCAAAGGAATGGACTTTAAGAGAGTGAGCTGTGTTTGAAGCATCTCTGGCATTTGGCCAGGAGGTTTCCCTTTCCTATCAACACGGCACAAAGAAAAACTAACACACTATCCCGCCCTATCAGGAAGAACAAGATAAAAGCCCAGTCTTTTTACTACCACAAGAAAATGCAAGCCTACTCTTAGATGCAATAGCCTCAGAACTGCACAAAATCTTCTCTCCTGTCTTTAACAGTAGCGAAGGAGATGGGACAGAAATTTAAACCAACCCCTCGCTTCAACCCCCAACATTTAGCAATCCGTTTAGCAGGACATCTACCATTGCAGGTAGATCTCCTGCAATGACATGATGATTTTAGGTTCTAACACATCAGCCAGCCCAAATTCTTAACCTATCCCACAAAACCCCCCGCTCCAAGCAGCCGCATGCAAAACACAAATTGACAGAAGCAGGCGCAGCATCCCGCAGTCCCGGCTTTCCCTCCCTTGGCCATGCTCGGCCCGGCTGCTCTCCATGAAGGCAAGGGGCTGTACCAGAACAGGCTGGTGGTCGCCTGGGAGCCCGGGACACCTTCCCTAGAGCACGCAGGCAAAGTCTGAAGCTGCATTTGTCTGCAAGTTAATTATTAAGTATTTTTCCTTCTGCAGAATTCCTGCCCATCCAGCACCATGGCAACAGCTTTATCCCCCTCCTTGGCAGCAGCGTTGCTGCAGTAACAGTGTCCATGACTCATGTGGAGGAGAGGAGAGCCAAGAAGAGTCACCAAAGAGGAGCAAACCCCAGGCAGAATCCCCACTAGGCTCCTGTCATTGATGTTGCACCCCTCCACTATATTTTCCAACTCTTTTTGCACTGAAAATATTTTAAACTTTTTTTTTTTTTTTAAATAAAAAATCAACATGCCAGTATCTAACTGGATGACATCTGGGAAGATTAGCTGCCAGAGTACTGCAATCAAGTGGTTTTTCCTCCTCTGGCAGTGCCCAGTCCCCTAACAGGAAAAAAAAAAAAAAGAGGTATACATATTCCTCTCAGTCTGTATTAAATTTGCTTGCTGCAATTCCCTGTTCAAAAAAAAATCAATCAAAGTAGCCACGTGCTGGTTTTTTCCCCATCCATAACAGAAGCCCGCAGCTACACTGGAAGGTCTTACTGGGAATGGGCTGCTTGCAATTGGCAGATACTTCTGCTTCGTTGAGCACTGTCAAATTTGCTCATCTCATCCCATACATACTTATTTTTAAATTACTGTAAGGCCTGGTTGCCCACACTTCCGTGACGCACTTAAATGTATCATCCGCTTTCATTACCCCAATTCACCATCACCACAGTTTGGGGAACGGAGGCAGCATCCATGTCTATTTTAGTTAGCCATAAGGCAGCTCAAACCTCATCAAGTGAAGTGGATCATTACAAGAAAGGTAGGCTTGGTCTCTCAGGACAGAACATTCTCTCGTTTATTCCACTTCCCCTGAAGTAGGCTGCGTTGTTTCCCTGTTAATAACCAAATAAGCCTGGTATCTCCCTGATCCAGCCCTCGGTATGCACCTGATTCAGGACTGACAGAGAGCACAACGAACAAGGGATGGACACATCAGCACTGTCTTAGGAAACCCAGCAGATTGGCTTTTGTCCTGAAGCACCCACATTAAGTAGTGCAAAAACAAGTCACAGAAGAGGAGCATTTCCTACTCCTTCCTAAAGCCCAGAGAATCGCCACCTCCCAGACCTCCACACCCAAACTCTTCCTGGAAAGAGTTCACCAACTGAGTTGAACTTGTTCTCAAAGCAAAGAGCAAACTCTTGCAACTTGCCCAAGCCTGGTATTAGCAG